GGGCGGGCAGCTGGTTTCAGCGGGCGGGCGGTTCATGGTTCGTCCAGGGAACGGCGGCAGCCCACGGCCGCACCACAGGCCGCCAGCGACCACGCCTCAGGGAATACGCGAGTTCCACGCTGGAATCGTGCCTCGAGAACCACGGGTTCTTTCAGGAAGCTGCAGCGATCCGTGCTGGGCGCAAGACTGCTTCTTGTCTAGCTACTTAGTCGTTACGGCTCGATGTCGATCAGGCAAAATGGTGCGTAACGGCCAGTACAGGACTAGTACCGGCAGAGTTCAGCCGCCGACGAGAGCCCCGTGGTTCCGTTAGGCGAGAGGCAGCGACCAAAGAAAATAGAAATACTGCTCCAGGTCGCGCGGGCCCTGACGTGCAACAGACTCGGTTTGGATTAATTACCGCTTCCTGTATGTTAACACATCGGGGGGATAGGCTGGAGCTGCCGGCAACGCGACAGACACATCCAACTGTCCTACAGAATGCACTGATGCATCTACCGGACACCAACAGTCAGCCTGCAGCCATCACCCAGTCATGATTATTCAATCGAAACAGTCAAGGTTCACGAGGCAGGACTAGGCTTCCCTGCAGTCGGGGACTTCGGTGTGCCGGACCGAGGGCGCGGCTTCTTTGCTGCTTCTCGCGCTGGTTCGCCCGCGTGATTCGCCCGTCCACAGCGGCCGGCCCGCCCATGCCATTGGCGCCTGTCGCGTATCCTCAATCCAGAGCCCTGGATCCCTCTGCGACTCGGCCTCCACCCACTCCCATCTGCACGCGTTTGTAAGCTGCTGGCCTCGAATTTCAGCACTGCACCATCCACGGCCTCGATGTAGATTCCCGCGGCTAGTCGACTATTATTGATGGCGTTAGGCTGTTTTGGGCCGTGCGATCAGCGATCTGTTAACCAACAACGGTTGGCCCTACAGTAGTGGCTTGCGATATTGAAGTCAGATCAGATTATCTTTTTTTTTCTGTTCTCAACTCTTCCGTCAGTGCGTCGGCTCAGAGCCTCGTGGGCCCTGCCGTGGCTTGCCCGTTACGGCAGGATATTCGGTCAGCCATCTGACCTCTGGCTCCATTATTATCTGACAGGGGCATCCTAGGCAAACTTTGTGTGTGCTCTGTATGCAGCAAATCATGTGCCTTTACGTCGTCCGGGCTCCTTGGTCCCTCCTCACTGCTCTGCACGCAAGTGAATCAGCAATCCTCTTATGCTTTACACCTATGCTTCTATTTCTACGGAGTGCATGCTTCGCAATGAGCATTTGCCTTGCATGCGACTTCCAGTGAAGCCCAAGCAATTCAATTGCCAAACTCCATAAACCGAGTACAGCTCTGCATGACTCGGAACATGATTCCTGCTTCAGTATGATTCCTCACCGTCTGGACTAGGCATATGCTGTATTATGCTGTATCAAGTGCCACAAAATATGCTTTGGCGCTACGTCTGTCGGTACGCGCATGTTGCACTTGCATGTAGTCACTGGTAGGCCTGCCTGTGAGGGCTTACCCAGATCGTGCAAACACCCGCTTCACTAAAAATTATTTTAATTCGTCTCTAGGGCTAGGCCAGTACGGAGTGCGTCTCCGACGTCCTTTACATAATCCAGCACGTGGACTGTGGATGACAGGATCATTCTCGGCATATTTATCAGATTAGCAGCTTGATCTCTATCACCGCAATAATGGAATCGGTGGGCCGTACGCTGTTAGCCATATGCCAAGCCTGACATGATAGTCATGCGGTTCATGCCAAGGTCGTGGAGAAGAAGAAGCCCTCTACAGTCTACACTGACGATCTGGTAATGTGTATTCTGTATGAAGTTCCGTATCGAAAGATTGCTGACATGCAATCTGACATGTGGGACTTGATATTCAGCTATTGCAAATAACCCTGTAACCGAAGAAGAATTTTGTAAATAAACGCAGAAAGTTTTCCCTAGACTGCTTATTTTGTGCCTGACAGCCCTCCTATCCATTTCTTCTAGCTCTCCATGGTAGATATTTTAGGAACCCATCAACCCGTGGTTCGCAGAACGACGTCTGAAGACGGCATATGAACATATCCCATGGGAACATCTCTCGAACTACTACTTACTGTGAGATACAGTACATGTATACACAACTGGCACGAGAAGAGCCGGTATTCCCGGTGCCAGGGAACAGAATACTGGTTTACAGTTACCGCTAGAAACGACACATCCAACCAAGAAAGATCCTGTTACGTGAACAGAAATATCGACCCGCAATTGACAGTCCTCGCCACGAGCTCTGTGGAGAAGATACGCACGATCGACATCCAATGACTTCATAGGTAAACAGTCCCAGTTTCAACGGCTGACAATGGTTCCCAGACCAGGCTAAAATTCCGTTCCTAATCGTCGGTGGCTTCCGTTTTCTGTATAGACCACCGAATCTTCAGAGACTAGGCGTAGCCCATCGGATCCGCAAGGCGGCAAAACACGGAGCTTCGAGAAGGCCTTCGGTCGCTTCTAGCTCGCCTGCTACCTTCCAGAAAGGACAGCAGGCCCAGATGGCCACACTCAATCGGAAGGCGCCACTGGCCCAGGCCGACGAACGGAAACAGCCCTCGGCATCGCCCAGCCACCAATCAGGAGGCCCCCGTCCCGCCTACGGCAAGCTGCAAACCCTGGCACCGCCACTGCTCCGATTGGCCACTCAAATTCTCGTCATTGAATTTTTCGAACGTCAATACAGTGTGTGCTAGGCGATCGGGCTCTCAGGTAAGCGGTACCAGAACAACATCCTGTGTATCGCGTCCGGGGCTCTGGAAAGAGCACAAGACGAGTGCAATCGGCTGCTAGGGAGAGCTGCTGCCGGCAAAAGCGCCAGAATCCTGCTGGCATGGAGTCCGAAGCAGCTCAAGTAGACCACCCGGAAGCCCACAATGAAGCCACGACCATTGATCCGAGCGCCAAACAGAACGCCTCCAATGAGGATATAGGCCCAGATGCATCCGAGGAACGACCTGCAAAAAGAGCGAAGTTAGATGAGGCGGCAGCTCCTAGCGATCAGGCTGCTACTACTAATGGCGCGCCTCCGAGGATCAAGGGCATAGCTCCTATCAAAGCAGAGTACGTGCCAGGCTTAAGCAGTTGTCTTGACGTCGGTGCCTTTATACTAACTGCTATGCGTTCAGGTACCTCGTCTATCCTCCAGGGAGTCAAGCGCCAGCAGCTCAGACGACTCAAGATGATGATACGGCTGAGGCGGCCTCGCATCAGGAACGAGAACAGGAGAAGAAGGGCAAGAAAAGAGAGAAGAGCGGTGGCCAGAATACCGGGCGTAAATTTGGCAGGGCGCAGGATGAAAAAACGTTATGCCCGACGAGAATGTTTCGTCCGGAGTTTTCTCCGGAGGAGTGTTCCTTTGGCGACACCTGCAAATACGAACATGATCTTCGAAAGTATCTGAAGGAATACAAACGTGAGGACCTGAAGACGTTCAATGGTGTATGTCCCGTTTGGGAAGCTCGTGGAACATGCCCGTCCGGCTGGAAGTGTCGTTTTGTTTCCTCTCATACGGCGGAGAGGGAGACGCCTGATGGGAGGCGTGAGCTGATCTTGGTCGAAGATGAAGAGCGCAAAGAGAAGTCCAAACCTTCTGTGCAGGGTGCGAATGCAGAGGGGATTGTCAACGTGGTTCCTGCACCAGACAGGTTTGCTCTCACGAAAAAGAAGACCGAAACCCCGCGAGCGGATGCGTACACGGCTTGGTTGGATAAGACGTCCAAGGAACTGGAAAAGAACATCCACGGGCGTCATAGAGACGATGAACAAGAAAACGATACGTCTGCAGGTAATGAACAGGACTTGGATGCCAAGGAACAGCTAGAGGAAAAGCGGGCTCAGTATACGGAGCCACCCTTCCTACCCTCAGAAAAGAGGAGGCTCTACTTCGGTCCGGAAACCCCAGTTCTTGCGCCGCTGACCACACAAGGGAATCTCCCTTTCCGGAGACTGTGCACAGAACTTGGTGCCCAATTTACGTATTCGGAGATGGCCATGAGCATGCCCTTGATCCAAGGATCGAAGTCGGAGTGGGCGCTTATGAAAGCTCATGAATCGGAAATGAAACCCCCGACAGTCTCTTCCAAAGCGAACATAGTGAAAGGCTATGACAATTCGAGAGATTTCAGATTCGGCGCCCAAATTGCAGCAAATAAGCCGTGGCAGGCGTTGAAGGCCACGGAAGTACTGACAGCTCTCTGCCCACATCTTCGTGTCATCGATCTCAATTGCGGCTGTCCCATTGATTTGGTTTACCGCGAAGGAGCTGGATCTGCTCTTCTCGACCACCCGTCGAAGCTAGAGAAGATTGTGCGCGGTATGAATGCCGTCTCAGGTGAAATACCTATCACTGTCAAGATTCGAATGGGGACCAAGGATAATAGTCCGAACGCGCTCAAGATTGTGGAGCGACTGACGCTGGGAGGCTACGAGGCAAGCATGCTTGGTGTCGGGCCTCCTGGCGTCGCTGCGATTACTCTCCACGGTCGGAGTAGACAACAGCGGTACTCAAGGCAAGCAGACTGGGGGTACATCTCTGAATGTGCGGCTTTGGTCAAGAGGCTCCGCGAACAGGAAGATGAAGTTGCGGACACCATAAGGGAGCCTGATGAAAGAACCCAGCCGGCCGGGGGACGAGTCTACTTCATCGGGAACGGCGACTGTTACTCCCACGAGGACTACTACGACCATATCCAGAACGCCAACGTCGATTCCGTCATGATCGCGCGCGGAGCGCTCATCAAACCCTGGATCTTCGAAGAGATCCAGGCTGGCCAATACCTTGATAAATCAGCTTCCGAGAGATTGGCTCTCGTCGAGAAGTTTGCCCGGTACGGCCTCGAGACCTGGGGTTCGGACGAGCAAGGTGTTGGGACGACCAGGCGGTTCCTACTCGAGTGGTTGAGCTTCACCTACCGTTACGTTCCCGTGGGAATCTTAGAGTATCTTCCTCCGAACATCCAAGATCGACCGCCTGCTTGGAGAGGCAGAAATGAACTCGAGACTTTGCTTGCTAGTGACAACTACAAAGATTGGATCAAGATCACGTAAGTCTTTGCCCCCCTTTCAAAAAAAACAATGCGGAACGGGAAATAGCCTCTAACGCTGGTGTTTTCACAGAGAAATGTTCCTTGGTCCGGTTCACAAGGACTTCAAGTTCGAACCTAAACACAAGAGCAATGCGTATGAGGTGGAGGCTCAAGGGTGAAGTGAGCTTGCTGCACCGTCAGAGAGCTGCTAAATCTTCATAGTCTGGAAACACTTGGAGGAAGCCATCCAAGTGTGCAAAATGCTAGTAGACGCAAAAAAAAAACATGCATGCTATTAGGTATTATTATCAGTAGATTTAGCTTAATGGAAGATCCTCTGGGGAACAACAGTACCGTGGACAGCAGCCAGATCACGTGCTTCCCGTTTTTGGTCGGGTGATGACGTCGTGGTCCAGGCTGCAAAACCAGAGCTCAAAAGACCACCTCACCGTACTTCGTACTTTCCTGTCCACGACCCCGTTTCCGAAACACCTCGCCTTCGACATCTTTCAATTGCAACTATCGTCGCAGGACCTTCTAGTGAAGCTGCTTGAAGCTGTTTTTCTGTCCAATTAAATCATTAACACAGTTCAGCTCTCAGCAGCTTCAAGGCTGAAAAAAGCCTCTCGACAAGATGACGCTCTACTACAGTCTTGTAAGGACCTTTTTTTTTCTTTTGTCATTACAATCTCTGTACCCACAGATCGAGATTGGAAGAACAAGCGACTTTGAGTCTTCTTGACTGATGTGCTTCTTGTCCAAAAGGTCTTCATTCTCCTTATGTTCGAAATCGTGGTCTTTTTGGCCCTCATCGTGCCGCTCCCACTTTCCGTTAAGCGGAAGCTCTTTACCTTCATTTCGGAAAGCCCTATCATTGCGAAACTGCAGTATGGAATGAAGGTGAGCTGCGAGTTGCTAATGTTTGTCTAAAGACTTTACTGACGTGTTTAGATCACGTTCATTTTCATCCTCATTCTCTTCATCGACAGCGTCAATCGCGTGTACCGTGTGCAGCTCGAACTCGCTTCCTTCTCCAAGGATACCACCGGTATTGGGTCAGTACAAAGCTCCGAGATAGCAAGAGACTTCTATCAAATCATCTGGTTAGGAATTTGTACTAACGGTCAATAGCAGAGCCGCCGCCCTAGGTACTGAGCGCATGGAAGTCCAGGCCCGCAAGTTTTACTCTCAGCGCAACATGTACCTCTGCGGTTTCACTCTCTTCCTCTCCCTGATCCTTAACCGTACCTACATCATGATTCTGGAGGTCCTTCGTCTGGAAGAGAAGATCAAGCAGCTTGAGGCTGACAAGAAGGCCGGCGGGGACGAGGCTCTGAAGAAGGAAAACGAAACCCTGAAGCGGGATATTGAGACCCTGAAGAAACAAGCCGAGGGTCTTCAACGCGAGTATCACCGCCTGGGTGATGAGGTGTCCCAGGGTGACAGCACGCCGAAGAAGGACCGATAAATGTTGACTTGCTGAAGAGCAGCGAAGGTGTTTGCTGCCTGATGCGTCGATACTCGCCATGCAATGAAATTACAGGCGGCTGAGCGGGAACGTATTTTAAATTGGGGCCTTTAGTTTCATTGATGTCGTCAACATTCAGTATGGCTATGCATTTATTGGCAATTGGTGACAAGAAGGTCCAGCGGCTGCAGATGTATGCTGCCGTGTGACCCATGAATGGCGTACAAGCCAATACTGGTTCTAATCAACTTTGCGAATGACGTGGTTCAATCGAGGTTGCAGGATTCCCTTTACGGTGTTGTTTATATGTTCGTATGTCCCTATACAAGTATGGATAAATCAGGTTAAGGGCAGTGTAAGTAGCGATATCTCTCTATCAACATGGTATGTATGTATGTATGTATACATGTGAACAAGATAAGTTCTCCTATGCAAGGAGCCATTCGTTCAAATCTATTATTATTATATTATCATCATCATCGCCACGTGACCTCATCAACATGTAGTGTAATACAATGTAACGAAGTATACAGATCATGCGGTTATACAGAGAAAAATAAAACAAAGCAAATGCAGCCGCCGCCAAACCAGATCTGACATTATTGTAGGCTTTTCCCCATTCACGCCCGTCTGAAACAGTCCATCATCAATCATATGAGGAATGTCCAGTAGCTCGGATAAACGAATTCGTCTTCAAAGATGCGACGCACTTGGTCCAGGACGAATCGCTCGACCTTGCCAACGTTTTTCAGGACTTGCTTCCCGTTTTCCTTGCGGCCGATCTCGCTCTCGACTCGGATGTGCTGGAGCAGACTGCCGAAACGCCTTCTTGAGGAAGCGGCTGACGCTGATGCGGATGCGGATGCGTCGCCGCGCGGACGATTGTCAACGCCCTCAGCGCCAGGATGATTATGCGCGGCGGGAGAACGATCTTCTCTTTCGCGCAGCGCTTCCTCCGGTCCGAGCAGGGCGTCTGCGTCCTCCGGTGACAAGAAGCAGAGGTGCATACGTCTCCGGATGTACGCGACAACGGCAACTCCATCAAACGTGAGGCCCGTAATGTTCAGCTTCAGCGGCAGTCCGACGAAACTAGGCATGGGATAGTCGAGCAGGATTTCCGCCGTCAGACACAGTTTGACATCTCCTGCGTATTTCACGTGACAGATGACTTGGAAATCTTCGGGTCGGCGTTCGCGCATGTGTCGGGGAGGTCGATGAGGTTGTGCAGCGATGGACGGGCCCTCATGAACCCTCTCATTCTCGTGGTGCGGAGGAAGCGACGAAGCTGCATGCTCGTTGAAGCCGACAGTAGGATCGCCGCTGGTATTGTTGGAGGAGCTGCCAGCACTGGGGACCTGCGATGGGCGGGAAGGGGTGGTATTGCCGTGGAAGGCCGGGACGGAGAGCCATTGACAGCTTCAATACCTGCCCCCGGAGTTCCATGTGG